GAAGACTGCAGTAATGATGCTGAAAATTCAGCTGCGCATCACAGAAATAAATTACAGTTTAACACATATTCACAAAGAAAACAGCTGTTTTAAATTGTTATAATATTTCACAATTTTTACTGTATTTTTGATCAAATAAATGCAGCCTTGGTGAGACTTCTTTTAAAGACATGCAAAAACATTTGAACAGTAGTGTGTATAAATGAGTGTTTTGAGTGAATTGATCAATGATGGTCAGATTTTGAAATGAATTTTCACTCCAGTGTTATTTTAGTATCATTGGCTTACTATTATAGCTTTTGTTCATATTTTGAATTAGATTTTATTTCTATATTTTCTGTTTTCTTTTTTAGTAATTTTGCTGTGTTTTTGTATTTAATTATTACTAGATAGTTTCTATTCATTTGTCTAGTTTTAGTTTATTCAGTTTTAATTACGAATTATTATGAAAATTTGAAATTTTAGAAATATGTTTTATAAAATATTTTTTTTTTATTTCAGTTCACATTTACATTATTTTGAGTAACAGAAGCATGTTTTTCAGCTTGAGTCAGATGTTCTGCTCGTGTTTCTGTGGCAGTGAACGTGCCGTCTTCTGTCGTGGAGGCAATGTCGCATCAGGACTCGCTTCAGCCCTTCAGCAAGAGCCCCAAATCCTCGTCTTCCTCGCTGCTGCTGCCGCCGCGCTCCGTGGTCTTCCCTCAGTTGCCCTGCTCTCGGAGCTTCTCTCTGCTGGACAAGAGTCACGCCGAGTCCAGCCTGAGCCAGATGAGCGTGAAGAACCAGCGTGTGCTGGCCAGCCCGACCTCCACCAGCCAGCTGAGCTCTGATTTCAGCGACTGGCATCTGTGGAAGTGCGGCCAGTGCTTCAAGACCTTCACGCAGAGGATCCTGCTGCAGATGCACGTGTGCACGCAGAACCCCGACAGGTACGATGCTCAAGAGAAGTCAAGCAACGTTTAATTCTACAGCGCTTTATACAGTGCAGACTGATTCAAAGCAGCTTCACAGGAAAATACTAGCATCAATGTTGCAATATTAATCAGTTCAGTTTCAATTTCAGCTCAGATTGAATTCAGTTCAATAACTGTGTCAATGTTGCAAAATTCATCAATTATAAAAACAAGTTTGATTCTTCAATTCTTAATTCAAAATTATAATTAGGTTGGCTTGAGAAAGGCGTGGCTTGCTAATCATGCTAGCAACATGCTAGTAGCATGCTAATCATGCTAGCACCATGTTAGTAGCATGCTAATCATGCTAGAAAAATGCTAGCGACATGTTAGTAACTTGCTAATCATGCTAGCAACATGCTAGTAACATGGTAATCATGCTAGAAACATGTTAGCTATATGCTAGTAACTTGTTAGTCATGCTAGCAACATGTTAGTAGCATGCTAATCATGCTAGAAACATGCTAACGACATGCTAGTAACTTGCTAATCATGCTAGCAACATG